ACCACCAACACTTCCATTCACTGGCCCCACAGTCCCCACCCCTATCGCACAGGTTTGGCACCCGCGGTGGCGTGCTACAGTCCAGGGCCAAGAATGCAATGCCCTAGACGTCCATCGAAGATGGCAGGGCCTATGTAACGATGCTCTGGCAGCAGTCAAGGATGGGCTGAAATAAAGATGCTCATGTTTTTTTTTGTGGAGAAGTAGTTGGAAAGATGAGGGGACGAAAGTGGACACCCCCACACGAACAGTTCAGCGAAGCATGCTATACACCTCAGAGCTCATTCAAATACACCGCGCAATCGAAAGGAGGTGAAACGCCCGAGATGCAGAGAAGCGGCGCGGCCATTTCAAAATGGGTGTGCCGAATTGGGTGTGCGTGACGCATGCGGGCGGTGGCACTGGGGCCGTCGGTGGAGCTCCCGAAGGGGCCACGAAACGTGTGAGGGGTGTGCCGGGTGCCGAATTGGGTGTGCGTGACGCATGCGGGCGGTCCCACTAGGGCCTTCGGTGGAGCTCCCTGTGGGTCTACGAAACGCTGTACTGGGTGGGCGAGACGCAGGGAGGAGGGAGGAGGGGGAAGAGGGAGGAGGAAGGAAGGAAGGAGGGGACGCGGGGACCGTCGCTTCAAAACGAGGACCCAACACCAGATGATGGTTGGGAAAAACCTTCACCGGGAGTCTTGAAGAAAAGTGCCCTCAATGAGGGTTCTGGGTACAGCATGTTCTAAGATTAGTGTGACGTGCCACTTGGAATGGAGGCCAGCGTACAACGATCGGCAGGCAAGACCCGTGCGGTCTGCGCTCAGGCCTGCCTGCATGAAACGGCCACCCCTGTAGCAACATCGGAGGTGAAGGGGTGAGACCGAAGTGGAACGGAGAGCCCCCCTACCGGGAAATCAGTTTCGGTGTCGTGTTCGTGCGTGCCGTGTGTGCGGGCGAGGCGAAGCTGCATGGGCGGGCGAAAAATAAGTCTCCTGTAGCTGAGGCGTGGCCGGACCAAAAGTCTCCGTTCCAGCAACCGGTGCCCCGCGGTGTCCCGCCGGTGTTCCGCTCGGGGGCCAGTGGCGCGCGGTCTCCTGCCGGTGTCCCGTCGGTGTCCCGATGATAATGATGATGATGATGATGATGATGATGATGATAATGATGATGATGATGATGATGATGATGATGATGTTGATGACGACGTTGATGATGTTGACGATGAACATGATGATGATGATGATGGTGGTGATGATGGTATCCCGATGATGATGAAGATGTTGACGATGTTGGTGATGACGATGATGGTGATGGTGATGATGGTGATCAAGATGCTGTTGCTGATGATGATGATGATGGTGCCCTGGTGATGATGATAATGGAAATGATGATGATGATGATGATGATGTTGATGATTATGATGATGTTGCTGATGATCAGATGATTGGAGGATGATGGTGAGGAATATGATGATGATGCTGATGATGATGATGATGATGGTGTCCCGATGATGATGAGGTTGATGATGAAACTGCTGATGATGATGGTGATGATGTTGGTGTTCCGGTGAAGATGGTAATGATGATGATGATGACGATGATGGTGTCCCGATGATGATGATGTTGATGATGAGGATGATGATGAGGTGATGATGGTGATTTTGATGATGGTGGCCCAATGATGGCGATGATGATGCTGATGTTGTTGATGATGGTGATGGTGTCCCGATGATGCTGATGATGATGATGATGGTGATGACGATGATGGTGACGATGATGATGGTGTTTCGATGAAGATGATGATAAAGATGAAGATGAAGATGATGATGATGATGATGATGATGATGATGATGATGATGGTGTCCCGATGATGATGATGTTGAGGATGTCGTTCATGAGGTGAAATGATGATGGTGGTGGTGTTCCGATGATGATGATGGTGTTTCGGTGGTGATGATGTTGATGATGATGGTGATGGTGGTGATGAGGATGGTGTCCCGATGATGATGCTGATGATAATGATAATGTTGACGATGTTGATGATGACGATGATGGTGATGGTGGTGATTATGATGGTGCCCCGATGATGATGTTGCTGGGGATGAGGTTGCTGATGATGATGATGGTGGTGCCCCGATGATGCTGATGGTGATGATGATGTTGATGGTCCTGATGATGTTGGTGATGATCAGATGATTTGATGATGATGAAGGTGATGCTGATGATGGTGTCCCGATGCTGAGTATGATGATGAGGTTGATGATGCTGCTGATGATGATGGTGATGATGAAGGTGTCCCAATGATGATGATAATGATGATGATGACGATGGTGTCCCGCTGATGATGATGATGATGATGATGAAGATGTCGATGATGAGGATGGTGATGGCGTGCTGATGGTGATTTTGATGATGGTGGCCCAATGATAGTGATGATGATGATGTTGATGATGAATGACGATGATGGTGTCCCGATGATGTTGACGATGACGATGATGATGATGATGATGATGATGATCATGACGATGACGATGACGATGATGATGATGATGATGATGATGATGGTGATGTTGCTAATGATGATGATAATGGTGTCCCGATGATGATGATGTTGATGATGCCGTTCATGATCATGATGGTGAGATGGTGATGATGGTGTTCCGATGATGATGATGATGATGATGATGATGGTGCCCCGATGGTGATGATGTTGAAGATGATGATGATGGTGACGATTATGGTCCCGATGATGATGATGGTGATGATAATATTGATGATGATGAGGTGATGATGATGGTGTCCCGATGATGTTGATGATGATGATGTTGATGAAATCGATGACGATCATGTTGATGATGATGCCGTTGATTGTGATATCGATTGTGATATCGATTGTGGTATCGATATTTAGACCGAATGTGAGATCGGTTGCGAAATCGATAGTGAGATCGATAGTCAGATCGGTTGTGAGATCGATCGAATGAAATAGATCGAATGAGATCGATTGTGACATCGATCGAGTGAGATCGATCGAGCGGGACCGACAGTGAGATCGATAGTGAGATCGATAGTGAGATCAATAGTGAGACCGATCGAGTGAGACGTTGGTTCCTCCCCACCCCGAACCTCCTTATCACCCGACGGGTGGTCGTATAGGTACATTCATATATACATACACTGAACCATTGCGCACTTCGCGCTAGATCAAGTTCTAGCTAGGCTCGACAGGCCAACGCATGTTATCTCAATTGTTGAACCGCCTTGTGCATCTAACGGCCTTCTTGGAGTCCCTGCGCAAGCCTCGGAAGCGTATAGAAAAGGAACATGCGGAAACCACAAAAGGATAGGTTTCCTTTAGGTGTTCGATGATTGGGGCCCTCAAAAGCTTCCCGGCATCTTTCTTCGGTGGTGACGGGGGCTTGAATTATGATCTGTTGTACAAAAATTAGCCTGGCGAAGGACCCAACCATATATAGTTGCGAACACCGCAATTATAAGTACCGTGTTCGGTGGAGCTCCCTATGGGGCCTCGAAGCGCTGCATTGGGTGGGGAGACGCATGCGAAGCCACTGGGGCCTTCGCTGGAGCTCCCTATGGGCCACGAAACGCTGCACTGGGTGGGCGAGACGCATGCGAGATTTGCCACTGAGGCCTTCGGTGGAGCTCCCCATTGGCCACGAAACGTTGTGCTGGTGGGAGACGCATGCGGACTTTGCCACTGGGGCTTTTGGTGGAGCTCCCCATTGGCCACGAAACGTTGTGCTGGGGGGGGGGGGGCGCATGAGGACTTTGCCACTAGGGCCTTCGGTTGAGCTCCCTATGGGCCACGAAACGTTGCGCTGGCTGTGGGAGACGCATGCGGATTTTGCCACCGGGGCCTTCGGTGGGGCTCCCTATGGGCAACGAAACTATGTGCTGGGTGGGGGAAAAAGCATGCGGACTTTGCCACTCGGTGGGGCTCCCTTTGGGGCCACCAATCGGTGGGGCTCCCTCTGGGGGGCCACGAAGCGATGTACTGGGTGGTGCGGGACGCATGCGGGCGGTCCCACTGGTGGGGCCGTCGGTGGAGCTCCCTATGGGACCACGAAGCGCTGTACTGAGTGGTGCGTGACGCATGCGGGCGGTCCCACCGGGACCTTCGCTGAAGCTCCCTATGGGGCCACGAAGCGCTGTACTGGGTGGTGCGTGACGCATGCGGCGGGTCCCATTGGGGCCTTCGCTGGAGCTCCCTGTGGGGCTACGAAACGCTGTACTGGGTGGTGCGGGGCGCATGCGGGCTGTACAATTGGGGCCTTCGGTGGAGCTCCCTATGGGGCCTCGAAGCGCTGCATTGGGTGGGGCGTGACGCATACGGGCGGTCCTACTGGGGCCGTCGGTGGAGCTCCCTGTGGGGCCACGAAGCGCAGTACTGGTTGGTGCGTGACGCATGCTTGCGTTCCCACTGGGGCCGTCGTTGGAGCCCCCCATGGGGCAACGAAACGTTGTACTGGGTGGTGCGTGACACGTGCGGGCGGTGGCACTGAGGCCGTCTGTGGAGCCTCCCATGGGCCACGAAACAAGTGTACTGGGTGGTGCGTGACGCATGCGGGCGGTCCCACTGGGACCGTCGGTGGAGCTCCCTGTATGGCCACGAAACGTTCTGCTGGGTGGTGCGTGACGCATGCGGGTGGTCCCACTGGGGCCTTCGGTGGAGCTCCCTATGGGGCCACGAAACGTGTGAGGGGTGTGCTGAAATGGGTGATGATGATGATGATGATGATGATGATGATGCTGATGCTGATGCTGATGCTGATGCTGATGCTGATGCTGATGATGATGATGCTGATGCTGATGCTGATGCTGATGCTGATGCTGATGATGATGCTGATGATGATGATTATGATGATGATGATGATGATGGTGATGATGATGATGATGATGGTGATGGTGATGGTGATGGTGGAGGAGGGAGGAGGGCAGCATGTTTGTGCGCCCGTATACGCCGGGGTGGAAGTCCACTGGCGCCTGGCCGTGCGCGTCTTCATGCTGCTGGCAACCCGCGTCGGGCCGTCCAGCTCTGATGAATGGCGTGTATTTCCATGAAGCCACGCTCCTTGGCAAGCTCCATGGCCGTGTACCCGTTGCAATTCCGGACGGCCGTGTCGGCGCCAGCCTTCAGGAGCAGGTCCGTTATCTGCGCACGCCCGAAGAGGGCGCACCACATCAGAGGCGTGCAGCCCTTCGCGTGGCCGAAGATCTGAAAGAACTCGAGGGAATTCCCAAAGATGCGAAGGCCATTCGAGACGCCGAAGATTGCCCGGAAGAGGATCGAGGAGGGAACTACCTGAGAGACGAAAAAACAGGGTCTCGCGCAGGACGACATAGCGACCTTACGCGGTGGATTACGCAGGCCGTCAGCGCGGCACGTCGCGCGGAAACGAGGGCACTGACACGCGACCTGACGCGGGCAGCTTACGCACCAATGTCCGCGCAATCGCCAGGGTTTTGTAACGTCGCTCACCTGGTGGTTTATGTCCGCGCGAGCGTCAAGCAAGCGGGAGCAAAGCTCTGGCGAGTTCGAGACCACCGTGTCGTTGATCGCACAGGCTCCCCCATCATTGACCGCATTGACGTCGGAGCCGGCCTCAATGAGGTAGATTCCAGCCTCCTGTGCCCCGAAGAGGCCGCAATTTATGAGGGGCGTGAGGTTATAGCCATTTCGATCGTGGATTGACCCGAAGCCGCTGTCCAACAACCACTTAAGATTGAGCGTGTTCCTCCCAGCGATCGCGGTGTACATGGGCGTGTTCTTCAAAGAATTCTTTGAGAAAGGGTCCGCCCGTGCGTCAATGAGCAGCTTCATGATCTCCGTACAGTCGTTGAACATCGCGGCGGAATGGAGTATCGTGCTGCCTGCTGGGTGGAAAATGTCTGGGACGTCCTCTCTCGTGGGTGCCTCAAGTGAGGCGCGAGCCTCGATGAGGGCACGCGCAATGGGCGCATTGCCCTCGATGCACGCGAAACGCAGCGCTGTGAAGCCAGTCCGCAACCCGTCCTCAACGCCACTCAGTTTGTAGGCCTCCAACCAGCGCTCCACGGAGGGAGCGCCCTGGTCCCCGCTGCCAGTCTCGCCCTCGCCAGCTGCGGTGCCCGGCGGGGGAAGCCCGCGGAGAAGCATGCTTCTGCGAGCCAGCATCAGCTTGCGCGCGGCCTCATCGCTGTCCCTCTCGAGCTGCATCAGCTTGCCGGAGTGGAGACGTCTGACGATGCCGGCAACTTTGAGCTTGTCACACGGCAGGGGTTTACCATCCAGCTGGTGGTTCATCGCGCAGCACGAGAAGCTGCCCGTGCCAACAGGAGCTCTCAAGGTATCCAGCGAGTTCATCAGGTGGCACGACGTTTCAGACATGACTACGATCACTGCGCCCCCCTTAGACGCGAGCTCTCGGGACTGTCCCTCCAGCAAACACCAGCCACGAGACATCCAGGAAGCCTTGTCGCAGACAACACCTGTGTCCTCATGCATCACCGGGGGGCAGATCACGATGAAGTAGGAGCTCAACTCAACAAACGCAGGGATCGAGTTGACTGCATTGTTAAAACTCTCCATGTCGCTGTACGAGCTGTCGCTGTTGGCTGGCTGCGGGATGCTGAAATAGTCGTACCAGAACAAAGACTCCTCCAACCCAGTTGCGAAATCCTTTGTGTTCATGAGCATAGGCCTCTGAAAGAGAAGCTGGTAGAGGAGGTCACCCTCGATGCGTTTGACGGTGCCATCCATCACACGGCGAAGCCACTTCTGCAACACGCTGAACTGCCTCATGTTTGGATCGGGGCCCCGCCAGCTCACCCACTGGTGGGAGACGAAGACGAGTCTGCGACCGCTGTCCCTCTTCCACTCGACAACAATGCCCTTGGCCTGCAGGTCTGCATGTGGCATCAACTCGGTCATGGCTAGGAGATCCCTGAGGCTTACTGCCCAGACAGGCGACAGGAGCTGACAGGCTGTCTCCTGTCCGGCAATGTCGTTCCGCCTGCCTGCTGGCCCCATGCAGCAGGAGCGGCACACCACACTCTCACCACCTCCATCAACTTCGAGCACGGCACCCCCTTCGGCTTCAGCCATCGCCGTTCGTGCGAGAATACACTCAACGCGCATGGCAAGGATGTGCGGTAAGGATGCCAGCCCCTTGGATGCCGAAGCTGAAACGTTTTAGCTAAGGATTGGCTCAATATGGGCCGTGGAGGCAAGGATGCAAGGGTACCCTAGAGAACGCTGCTCATCCTTACCATACGCGTTGACTGTCAGGCAGTCGAGCGAAACTTCGTTCGAGATCAGGGGCGTCGCCAAGACAGTATCGAGCCTGAGCTGGGCGGAGTGTCACCGCATTCTTGCCCACCCACAACCCCACTCCTCTGGAGGGAACACGTGCTCCGCCTATGCCGACACCTCCTTGAGGCGGGCGGGGGTGCCTAGAAGAAGTTCTCCGTCCCAGTACGGCGAAGGCCTTGGATAAGGAATCCTTGGATAAGGACTCAAGGGTCTGGAAGCCAATGGAACTCCAATTGTGGATCGGACATGGGTATCGCTACCGCCCCCATCAGATAAGGAACACTTCAGGTTGTGAAACCTCCTGGGGCACATTCTGATGGGCTTGTGTTCCACTACCACTACCATAAGTTAGAGGGGGTCAATATCCTCCTCCTCCTCCTCCTCCTCCTCCTTCTCCTCCTCCTCCTCCCCCTATTCCTCCTCCTCCTCCTCTTCGTCCTCCTCCTTCCCCTTCCCCTCCTTCTCCTCCTCCTCCTCTTCCTCCTCCTCCTCCTCCTCCCCCTCCAACTTATGGTAATGGTAATGGAATGCATGCCCATCGCACTGCTTAACAAATGCCCCAACCGTGGAAGAAATTCTCCGTCCTGGTATCCGGTTGACGGAAAGCGCGCGCTAGCGTGCGGTCCGTTAGTCGGAAGAAATTGGACTTGGGGGAGTTCGAGGGGGGTGGCATCGCTGGGCCCGGATCTAATTGTCCTCCCGCATCGTTTTTTATCGAGTAGGACAGCCTTCGGGGTTTAAAAACAGCGTTTCGCTCGAGACATCATCGAAAAACGCTTCTTGGGCGCTTCTTGGGCCGTCTTAGGCGCCTCAGACAGCCCAAGAAGCGGCCAAGATGGCGCCCAAGACGGCCCAAGACGGCCTAAGAAGCGCCTAAGACGGCCCAAGAGCGCTCCAAGAGAGCCCAAGACCGCCCAAGGCGGCCCCAAGACGTCCCAAGAGGCCTCCACGACGCCCCAGGAGGCGCCCACGAGGCGTCCCAAGAGGGCCCCAAGATGCCAAAATCATTGATTTTCTTCAGGAAAACAAGAGGCCCCCAAAATAGCCCCAGAGGGCGCCAAGACGGGCCAAGAGGCGCCCAAGACTGTCCAAGAGACCCCTAAGAGCGCCCCAAGAAGGCTGAAGAGGCCCCCAAGAGGGCCCCAAAACGGCCCAAGAGGGCGCCAAGACGGCCCAAGAGGCGCCAAGACGGCCCAAGACGGCCCCAGGACGGCCCCAAGAAGGCCCCAAGAGGCCCCCAAGAGAGCCCAAAGACGGCCAAAGGCAGCCTAGTCCCTTCACCCCCGCAGCCCAGAAGCTCCCAGGAGGCCCCAAGAGGCCCCCGAAAAGCCCCAAAAGGTCCCCAGAGGCACCCAAAAGGCTCCCCAAGAGCCCCCCAAGAGGCCCAAAATACTCCCAAAGGCTCTTAGCACCGCGGCTCCCAAGAGCGAGCGGTGACGTAATCGAGCTGATAAGACCAAAGCTCCCAACAGAGAGCTGCGGCGTAATAAGTTCTTGACGCCAGGGCACAGGGACGGGCGGCAACGCGTGGACAACGAGCGGTCCACGCAAGGAAAACGCGGGGTTCTGGAAAGCTGGCAGCCCAAACGCGGAAAATGCAACGTGACCCGACCGCCCCCTCCAAAACAAGAAACGTGCTCAAAGAAAGCTCCGCGACTCTCCGAGGCTGAGATAGGACAAGACCGAGGGGAAGGGAGTCAATAAGAGGTGTAAGAGCGGACGAGCCAGCGATCTCGTGCGCTCTGAAAGTAAGTTCGCTGTCCGTCCCCGTGCCAAGCAGGTCTAACGGCCCAGGGGCCCGAGGCTGGACGATCCACCCGCACACACTTCTACATAAGAGAGCTTCTATCACTATAATCCTTCCCCCCCTGCTCCTCCTCCTCCTCCTCCTCCTCCTTCTGCTCCTCCTCCTCCTCCTCTTTCTCCTCCCCCTGCTCCTCCTCCTCCTCCTCCCCCTCCACCTCCCCCTCCCCCTCCTCCTCCTCCTCCTCCTCCTCCTCCTCCTCCTCCTCCTCCTCCTCCTCCTCCTCCTCCTCCTCCTCCTCCTGCTCCTCCCCTCTCCCCTCCTCCTCCTCCTCCTCCTCTCCTCCTCCTCCCCCTCCTCCTCCCCCTCCTCCTCTTCCTCCTCCCCCTCCACCTCCTCCTCCTCCACCTCCCTCCTCCTCCTCCTCCCCCTCCTCCTCCTCCTTCCTCCTCCTCCTCCTCCTCCTCCTCCTTCTCCCCCTCCTCCTCCCCTTCCTCCCACCTAGGGTTCAGCCGGGTGGGGGGGGCAGGAACAGCGACGGACGACATCTTCATCGCCATCGGCAGCGGGTGGTGGCGAGGGGGGCGGGGGGCAGGGGGGACAAGGGCATGGTGGAATGGGAGGGAGGTGCAAGACTGGTAAGTAGGTAGGTAGGTCACCTCCAAGCGAAGTGGCATTTGGCGACTGCGAGCCCACCCCCTTTAGCAGGGAGCTGAGGTACTCATCGGGCAACCGACAGCAACCCCACAACGTCTGCCCAGGGAGAGGCGTGACCGTTCTCGAGGAGAGGCACGGAGAGAGAGGGAGGGCACGAGGACTACCATACCAGAATGTCCACACCCTCCTCAGCTCCTTAGTCTTTCGGTGGAGACGGAGCACGCCAAATCCTGGACGGCAGACGAAAGGTGTGGGTCTTCCTGCGGAGGGGACATTGGCAGCCCTCCGCCAGGAATCCTCGCCCGATCTCGACTCCGCCAAACGCCAACGTACGACGCAGGTGCGAAGCTGGCACGGTGGAGGCAGAGATGATCATAAGAGGGGATAATTCTAGCAACGCGCGAACATTCTCGGCGAGGCGCGTCTGCTAGAGAACACCCCGATGCTGGAGAGCTGCCGAGAGACGGCGACCGCACCCGAAAACCTCGAGCTTCGCACCCGCCCGAGCCAGTCCTCCGACACACGCCGGCATACCTCCATCGACGGCCCCAGAAGTCCAGACCGCTTTCCAAGGGACAGCTTCGTCCCGGATGCACCAATCCTTCGGGGGCGCGCAAGCATGGATGAGCGATCCATGGATTTGGCGCGCGGTCGCCAAATCCATGGACGGCACCTGCCCAAAATGCCGCCGGCGCGGCCTTTCTCGGCGGCGGGAATCCAGGATTGCCCACGGAAGCGGGACCCGTCGCTAATCCACGCCCCCTTCGTCCATGTTTGCGACCGCCTGAATGATGGTCCCAGGGCCCAGCAACTGGCCCAGTGGCGGAAATCGAAGGAGCATGCCATGATTGGAAACCTCACATCGCTGGAGAACTGGGGCCCCCTGCCGTCTTTAGATCTGCGCTGGGCTCCATTCCCTGACGCGGCGGAACGCGCCAGGGGCTCCGGCGCAGATCCAGGAAATCCGCGCGGACCGTCGACATGTCATGTTTATGCAGCTTTGTCCCTCTTCATGCATATACAGTTCACTCTTAGAGGCAACGATAGGCATGGGACTGACTCGGGGGGAGGGGCGAAGTCCACCTGGAATCGACGATAGATCGCTGATAGATCGGCGAAGGGACCCCGACAGCGAATCCGAACGCTCCTGGGCGGGCTGGGACTATCGGGCCCCTACTGGCGATGAGCGGGCGATTGGGGGTGGATGCATCCCCCCTGAGCAGATTCTCCCCCCCAAAACGTTGCACCCTGAGCCGATGCCGCTGACGACCAGCCGCACGATCAGCACGCGCAGGTGCTGGAAAGTCTCGATCCCTGCCCCAGGGCCGGTTTTGCATCCCGAATTGTTTTGTTGACTGTGCCTGGGTTCGGCGGGGGCCTCCCCGAAGGGCCAAAAACTGCCGACTTCAGGCCGTCGTGTGTTTTCCGCGGCGCGAGCACGCCAGGGGAGCCAGTTTCCCTCCCTGTCGCTGCCAGAGGAAGAAGAAACTGCATAACCACAACCTGTTGGAGGCCCGCGAAGATTTCTTGGATCTGCGCTGAACCCTATCCCTCGCACGCGGAGCGCGCCAGGGGCGGCGCCCCAGGCGCCGCACGGGAGGCCCGGCGCAGATCGAAGAAATCCGCGAGGAGCTCCGAACATTGAGGTCTATGCAATGCGTTCTTCTTCGAACTGCCCCTGATGACCTGAGTCTGTCACAAGCGGCTGGTCTGGAGGTGGGCCCAAACGTTACGACGGATTGCCCCCGAAACTATGCTCTATCCAGCGCTTGAACCGTCAACTCCCTCTCAGCGAAAGCATTCGCCCGTCACCTCTCTTCTAATCAGCGGGCAGGCTTAGCCGTCAACACTCTCTTGGTCGCCTCTCTTCGAATCGGCGACCCCCCTTGACTTGTCGGCGCGCACAAGGGGGTAGGGGGAGGGAGGAAGGCTTCTTAGAAGGCGGATGCCTCGTAGAAGGCGCCAACCGCCCTTCTAAGAAGCCGGGGGCGCGTCGCTACTTAGAAGCATGCCAGCAGCTTCGTAGAAGCACAGAACTGCGTCCTATAGAAGCAAGCCACCTGCTTCTAAGCAGCGCGCCAGGAACAGCTTCTGAGACGCAAATCCACAAGCTTCTCAGAGGGGGCGCCCGCGCCTTCAGAGAAGGGGGGTGCTTCTCATAAGCTTCCCCCCCTCCCTTTACCCCCCTCTGCGCGTGGCCGATCGACGGCGACCAGCCGCTCGATCAGCACGCGCAGGTGCTGGAAGTCGATGCTGATGCGCTCGAGCGCCTGCTCCTGTGCGCGGCAGCGGCGCTCCGCCTCGTGCAGGCGCACCGCCTGCCAGCGGCGCCGCCCACGCAGGGGAGGCGGGACTTGAGAGGGGGGCCGGCCTTCCGAGAATGGCGTCGGGGAGACGTAGGACTTGCACGGTTTTTCCCCCTGGGCCGTAGGCGACCCGAGGAGGAGGAGGGGGGGGGAGGAGGAGGAGGAGGTGGATGAGACGGAGGAGGAGGTGGAGGAGGGGGAGGGGGAGAAGGAGATGGAGGAGGGGAAACAGGATGGAGGAGGAGGAGGAAGAGGAGGAGGAAGAGAAGGAGGAGGAGGAGGAGGAGGAGGAGGAGGACGGGTCGCCTAAGCCCTCCGGAGAAAACCTCCAGAAGAACTCGGGTTCGGGAGACTCGGGTTGGCCTGACGGGGCCGCCAAACATCCCACGAACATCCAGGACGGGCTCGTCAAAAAGCGTCGGCAAACCCGAGTTCTGGCGAACTCGAGTCTTACCTCCTTTCCCCATAGAAAAGCAAGATGCGGTCCGAACGAAAATCTTGGATCGGCGCTGGACGCTTCGCGCGCCAGGCGCCGCCGGGAAGGCCAGGCGCCGATTCAAGAAATCCGCGCGGAGCTCCTAAAATTATGATGATGCCGATTTCTCTTCTGCGGGTCAGACAGAGAAGGCAAAGGAACCTTCTGAGAGGGAAAGGCCTTCTTAGAAACCCTCCCGGCTTCTAGGAAGCCTTCTTGGAAGCCTCCAAGGCCTTTTGAGAATGTCCCTGCCCTTGCCAGCGCTCGGACGCAATTTCGTGTGCGTGGTTTTGCCCGTGCTGGTTGCAAGAGGCCGTAGCATTACTCACAGCCAAGTCGAGTGGATAGATCCATGAAGAAAAGCAGCAACAGCAAGAAATCAACACGTCCTAGCAACGCCCAGTGCCTGCCAACGGCCAAGAAGCCCCTCTAGAGGGCTCTCAAATGGGGTCCGTCGCCGACTAGCTGGGGCCGGAGGATCGCCGATGCATCACCGATGCATCGGCGCGGAGCCCCAGCGCGGATACGAGAAATCCGCGCGGAACTCCGCGTTGTTACGCTCATGTCATTACTTGCTCCCCTACGCCTAAGTCGGCCTGTCCCTCTATAGGGAGAATATCCCAAAATAACAAAAAACAGCCAGGGGACGATGTTTGGACCCTCTTTGACTATTTCAAGTTAATTTTCTGCCTATCTTCGGATCTTCGTCCACAATCCCCCCCTGCAGGGAGACGGGCCCGACCTCACCCTGCGCCAAGCCGGCTCCAGCCCTGCCTCCTCAGCAGGCGGCCCCCCCCCTCGCGCAGGCCCTCCCCCCGGGGGTGCGCAGTGCCGCCGATCGGCGGCGACGACAGGGGCGAGTAGCCCAGGGGCGGGCATGCCACGCCTTCGCCCGGGAGCCTCTTCGAAGACATGGATCATCGGCGCACCCGAATACAGTCGGGGCGTTGACCTAAGGAACCCTAAATGAGGAACGAGGCCCCTCTTTTCCACAAGTGAAGCTTCGACTTCCCATACAGGAAACCGAGGGGAACCCGAGACAAGCCTCGAGACAATCCAGGAACACCGAGCCCCCTCCCCAACGACGAGCGCGCCTTCTTCAGGGCCCCGACTGCACGGGCACTGCTCCCCCCTGGGCTGCTCGCCCCCTATCGCCTCCTCCGAGCCCAGCCTGGCCGTCCGGCCGCGGCGCGCCCGGCGACCGCGAGGTGCGCGGCGGGCTGCTCGCGGGCGGGCTCCTGCGGGGAGAAGGCGGGGCGGGGCAGAGCGGCCGCGCGCGGGCCCGGGGATGCGACCAGCACCCCTAAGCCGAGCATCCAGAGGGACGCGCGGGCAGAAGAGCGCGCGAGTGGCAACCCTTTGAGAAAACAACTGCGGAACGCGAGACGGAGGAGGTAGAGGAATTGGGGGACAAAACCGGGATGCCCCAGGGATGCGACGCTCGAGGCAACTCGGAGCAGCCAAGTTCGGAGGATTCTCGGCCTCCGGGGGCCCTCGCCAGGCCCTGCAGGACAGTCAAAAACGACTCAGGACGGAAAGCTGGCACAAGGTAGGCGGTCCAGACCTCTGGGGCCCACGCATCGAACAAATTTGGAGCGGCCAGATGTCTGGGAGAGGAACCCTAGGCAAGAATAACCCTACAAGGCAGGACAGGTCGGCCCCCACCGGACCATCGCAGCTGGATCCGGCTCGAGAAATGACGCAGAAAGATGGTGCCCAGGGCTCCGGGCGTGTTTTTGTTACGATGTTACATTTTTTCGCTACGTCGGATCTCAGGGACCCTGTATGGAGGGCTGGAGATCCACCCCGAGAATAAGCACCCCGACAGCGCAACCGTTTAGCACACGCACCCGACGACGGAATCGAACAAGAAAGCGCTGTTTAGTAAACGCACGGGGCCGTTTGGTAAACGCCGATTATGGGGGTCGGGGTGGATTTGTCCTCGATGACTGTAGGCAAGAGTGACCTTCGGTGCGCGGCTTAGCGGGGACGCGGGGTGGCCAGACCCAGGCGCGCAAGCCCCTGCTACCGCTTCTGATGGGCCTGTTTCCCACCTCCACCGCCACAAGCTGAAGGGGGGAAGGAAGAGGAGGATGAGGAGGAGGGCGAAGAGGAGGAGGAGGAGGAGGAGGAGAAAGATAAGGATAAGGCCGTCGGGGTCGTGCCGTCCCCCTCCAACTTGTGGTGGTGGTGGTGAAAAACAGGCCCATCAGCTTCGCGCTCGGCGGTCGGGGGACCCCTTTGGGCCCACACCAAAGGCCAGTCTCGCGAACCGTCACTCTTCTTACGTGCAGTCGCACAGGACGCGCTCCCTCGGCCAGGAGACCGGTCCGAGACGGGCGGCGCGGAGGCGCCTGCACTTCTTCAAACTCTCGGCCGTCTCCAACCATCGTTTGAATTGCCTGCCCGACCGCAGAACATGGATGGTGTGTGTGTGTGTGTGTGTGTGTGCGTGTGTGCCCGAGCCCGGTTGAGAGCAGCGTGTGCCCGAGAGCCCAGATGAAAGCAGTGCGACTCCTGCCCGGAACAGAAGTCGGCAGGCCCTGTTTTTGCCCCGCCGGAGGGATCCCGAGGCGCCGGCGTCGCACGTTTTGCCACACCCGGCGCTGTCGCCCGGTGTCGGGCCATGGGTCAGGAGGGAACAAAAACACACAGACACAATTAGTGGTCGACCCCCAGGAAAATATGGGAAAATATGGGAAATGGGGGGGAAGACAAAAACACAGAAAATATGGAAAATATAGGGAATCCTTTCATTTGTGTGTACTTATTTGTGTGTCCCTGGGGCCCCTTGACTGGGGCCATGGGTCAGGAGGGAACAAAGACACACAGACACAATTATAGTCGTCGACCCCCGGAAAATATAGGAAAATATGGGAAGTGGGGCCGGGCCGCCGGGCCCGCCGGGCCCGCCGGGCCGCGGCCGCACGGACGACTTTACTCCCCCGTCTGGGGGCCCCCGAGACCCAGACCCCCGACGTCATGATTTTTTCATGACGTCGACCCCCGGAGGTCTGGACCCATTCCCCAGGACCGGTTTTCCGTCCTGAGTCGTTTTTTGACGGTCCCGAGGGCCGGTGAGGGCCCCCAGAGGCCGCAAATCATGAAGAACCTCCCGTCGTGATTTTTTCATGACTCGAGGGGGTCTGGGCAGGCGGCCCCTCCCCGGGAGGCTCCGCCGCCGCGGGCTGCTGCGCGACGGTGTGAAGGAGGCGGCCAGGCGGCGCGGCGCCGGAGCGCTGGCGCGGCCGCCGGCGCGGGGCGCCGCGGAGGCGCGCGGCGGGCTCGGCGAGGGCACCCTCGGGGGGGCGAAGGGAGCTATATACGTCCACTGTTCCTGGCAGGGCCCATCATGGGCCCAGGAGCGGTGTGTGTGTGTGTGTACATGTATGTAGGTCTGTCTGTCTGTGTGTGTTGTCTGTCTGTCTGTCTGTCTGTCTAGTTGTCTGTCTGTCCGTATCAGTATGTATGTATGTATGGATGGATGGATGGATGCATGCATGCATGTATGTATGTATGTATGAAGAGAGAGAGAGAGAGAGAGAGAGAGAGAGAGAGAGAGACAGAGAGAGAGAGAGAGCGCGTTTCACAGGCGCTTGGCTTGGGAACATTTGGCGACGCGTTTCGAACCGGGGGGGTGGGCCCCCACCCCAAAACTCGGCGCCGTCGATCAAGAGACTCCCCTCTCCCCTTATAACCCCCCCTCCCTCCCGACACCCCCCCCCTCCAAAGGGGGGGAGGGGTCCAAACCCCTCCGCCCTCCCCCCCCTCAACGCAGCGACGATGACCAGAGAGCCCAGCAAGGGGGGCGGGGGTTCAAACTCCCCCCCCCCCGCGCCAGCGCGGGCGCCGGCGCTGGCGGCGACCAGCAGCGCCGAGGGCGGGGACGCAGCGACGATGACCAGAGAGGGCCGCCCAGAGGCCGCAGAGGGAACACACAAATAGCCATATCGAGCCCTCGCATGCTCCTCAGACACCCACATGACCACTCTGACGAGACCTCAGGAGGCATCCACCAGAACTCTGACCCTTTGCCTAAAAGCAATGGCGGGAAGAGACGAAGGCTACACCACCACCACCACCGCCACCACAGACCACCATACCACCACCACCACCGCCACCACCACCACCACAACCACCACCACAACCACCATGACCACCACCATCACCACAAACCATCTCACCACCACCACCACCAAAAACGCCACCACCACCAGCACCACAACAACCCACCACAACCCACCAGAACCACCACCACCGCAAACCACCACGCCATCACCACCACCACTGGCCACCGCCACCACCACGACCACCACCATCACCACAACCCACCACCAACACCACCACCACAAACCATCACACCACCGCCACAACCACCAGTACCACCACCACCACGCATCACCCAGAACCCAACATCACCACCAGCACCACTACCAGCAGCACCACCACCACCACCAACACCACAGCCCACCACCACCACCACAACAAATCACCACGCCACCACCACCACCGCCACCACCACGACCACCACCATCACCACCTCAACCCACCACCACCACCACCACCACACAACCACCACACAACCACCACCAGCACAGCGGCTGTGCTGGTGGTGGTGGTGGTGGCTGTGCCACAGCCACCACCACCACAACAGCTCACAACCATCACCACCACCAATACAACAATCCACCACCACTACCACCACCATCACCACAATCTACCACACCACCAACGCCACCGCGACAACCGCCACCACTACTACCAGCAGGGCAACCCTCCACCACCACCATAACCACCACAAACCACCTCACCACAACCACCATCACCACCACCACCACTACCACCACCACCAGCACCCCCGCCGACGCCGCCGACGCCAGCCGCCGCCGACGCCGGCGCCGGCCCGAGGAGAGGGAGAGAGGAGAAGTAGGGGAAGGGGGGGGGTTCGAACCCCCCCCCCTCCGTCACGGGAAGGGGGGGGGTCCAAACCCCCCCCCCTCCATCCATGGACGGAGGGTCTGGTTCCGAACCGTCCCCCCCTCCAAGCGACCACAGAACGCGCTCTTTCGTATGTATGTATGTATGCATGTATGTATGAATGAATGTATGTATGTATGTATGCATGCATGCGTGCATAAATGCATGCATGCATGTATGTATGTAGGCAGGTATGTAGGCAGGTAGGTTGGTCGGTAGGTTGGTAGGTAAGGTAGGTGTATGTATATATATATATATATGCACAATTATATATGCATATCTATATATATATATGCCCCCTTGGCTTGGCCAGGGAGGCATCTACTCCAGGAGGAACAGACCTAAGTAGCATGAACGCTTGCAGCTCAGCGCGGATTTCTGGAATCTAAACTGGGCCCCTCGCCCTGCGCGCGGAGCGCGGCAGGGGCGGCGCCGGAGGCGCCGCCAGGGGGGCCTAGCACCGATCCAGGAAACTCGCGCGAAGCTCAGAAATCACAGTCAGTCCGCTGTCAGAAGGAACCCTGCATAAAGAACGAGGCCCCTTGTTCACATAAGTGAAACTTCAACTTCGCCATAGAAAACCCGAACACCGAAGGCGAACTGTAAAACAATTGCAGGACACTGAGCCCCTCCCCGACGATAAGGTTTCCTGATTCAGCGGCACAACTATCTGTTTATGCCGAGTTCCGTTACTCGAGTCTACACCGCTCCTGGGGCAAGGATGGGCCTGGCCAGGGGCGCCTGGATGTGGGTAGTTCTCGTCGCCAGACCTCGGAGGGCTGGTGGCGGCGCTCGCGCGGGGACCTCTCGGCGGCTTCACAAAACTTTCTTGTGGCAGCTCGGTTGCAGCGTCGAGTAGCATCGACTAGCCTCGGTCCACGTCGGGGAACAAGAGCCTCGATTGGCCTCGACTGGCCTCGAAAAGCCTCGACTGGGCTGTCTCGATTCGCGCCGGCTAGCCTCGCTCGGCGTCGACTCGCAAGAGCTCTTGCGAATCGGCGATGACCGAGGCTAATCGACGCAGTCGACTCTGAATCGGCCCATGCGCAGCGGCCTGCCTGCGGCTGCACAACATTTCACTTGGACGCGGGTTGACGTCTAACCGTCTAGCCGCAGTACCCTCACGACACGATGACGGGGGCCGAATGAAGGCATGAAAGAGCGAAGCGTGGCGAAGACCCGAGCGCACACGAGCGGAAGGGACCGACAGACACGCAAACGGGACCGCGAAACCACGCATGGGCTTTGAGGCGAACAGGCTAAGCGGCTGCGCAAAACTTCTGTGGCAGCACATGGGAGCCTCTGGCTCCTGCGAGTCGAAGCTAACCGAAGCGAATCGACGCTAGTCGATGCTGCATCGGCGCTCGCGCGGGGGTCTCTCGGAGGGCAGGATCAGTCATCGGGCTACGCACAGGCAGCCCCCCGAGGTAGCCCCAGCAAGCGCCCTCGTAGTCAGAACGCATATCCGTATCCGTATCCGCGGCCTGGCGGGCCGGGCCTCTGGACCGCAACCCGCGAGTGCAGAATTTTTCGCAGATGCCCCGCGCCGAGCGTACCCGTGCGACCGCGTACTCGCGCCCCTGAATCCAGACCGCGAGGGTGCGGATTCGGTTATGGTCGCCGCTCGAGAGTCCTGACTGGCCTCAACAGGCCCCCCGAGTAGTCCAAGGCGGTTGCATCACCCTGGCGCCGCCTCTGGTTCCGCGCCCCAGGGTTGAGGTGTTGAGACCGCCCTGGACTACTCGGGAGGCCCGTTGAATCTGACAGGGACTACTCGGGGGGCCTGTTGATGGTCCCAGATGAACCAGCCTCGATATCATACCTATCCCTGCAGTTTATATGCCCAAAGCGATGGTGATCTCACGGGTGTGCCCTCAGAAAATGGGCGGATCCTTCAGACCAGCATCGAGGGCAGGTGATGCCAGGTGGGTAAAACATGACACCCGCACCAAGGGGTTGCACAAAGCGAAGGCAGGAGTGGAACAAACAAAAACTCTAAACATACTCGCGTTGTGCAACAAATCTTCAGGGGCCCCAGGACACACAAATAAATACACGCAGATAAAAAGATTCCATCTATGTTCCCATATTTTCTGGGTTTTCGTCTTCCCCCCCACCTCTCATATTTTCTCATATTTCCTGGGGAATCGACGATTGTGTCTGTGTGTTTCTTCCCCTCCTGAAAATCACGATGGGACATGTTTTCTGACATTTCCAGCCTCGGGGGGCCCTCGCCGAGCCTCGACCGTCTACAAAAACGACTCGGGACGTGAAGCTGGCCACGGGGAGAAGGTCGGGACTGCCGAGGACCCCGTCTTGAACCAAGGAAGACATCGGATGTCTGTCAAGGGGCCCAAGGACACACACAAATAAATACACACAAATAAACATGTTCCCATATTTTCCCATGTTTTCTGGGTTTTTGTCTTCCCGCCCAATTCCCATATTTTCCCATATTTTCTTGGGATCGACGATTAATTGTGTCTGTGTGTGTTGTTCCCTGCTGAGTCTGGGGTCGGATCGGGGAAACTCTGGAATCTCTCGGGTCTGCCGGTTCTGAGGGATGTATCGGGCGCCGCGGTCTCCTGGAAGCGTTTCGGAGCACTCCAAGAGCAGCCCTCGGAACGGTCTGGACGGGTCTCGATCCCGGACTCCTGGACCCGATTTAGGGCAGCCTGGGCGGTGGGGCACTGCGGCGAGATGCTGCTGTCCAATCCAGGCAGTCTCCAAGCAGGTGTCTTTCTGGGCCCCGCGGCCGCAAAAGAAGTGATCGGGGACGCACAGCTGCCCCCTGGGGGCAGGGGTCGAGACCTCTGGGGCCGCGGATGGAAGACATCACATCGGCGGATGTCTGGGTATGGAAGAGACAGCCTGAGCATTTTCTCAGGGTGGAGGGCTCAGGGTGAAGTCCATATGGGCTTTGCACCTCGAGAATCAATCCGTCTTGTGATTCACCTTTTGCAGATTCAAGCCTCGAAAACCAATCGAAACGGCATTTCAAATTTCACCCTGTGCCCTCCACCCAAAGAAAAAAAATATCCCGGCAAAGCAACCTAACAGCGATGTGTAGGAGCATATCTGGGAGCATTCCCCTTAAGATTCAAATGAGAACCCAGTTGTAAAATTCTGCTGTTCTCGCAGTCGTAGTCGCGAATGCAACGGCAGTCGCAGTCACAGCCTCAGCCTAAGTCTGCCTCAGCCTCAGCCTCAGCCTGCATGAGCCTCAGCCTCAGCCTGCTTCAGCCTCAGCCTCAGTCTGCCTTCAGCCTCGGCCTCAGCCTCAGCCTGCCTCAGCCTCACCCTGCATCAGCCTCAGCCTCAGCCTCAGTCTGCCTCAGCATCAGCCTGCATCAGCCTCAACCTCAGCCTGCCTCTGCCTCAGCCTCAGCCTGCTTCAGCCTCAGCCTCAGTCTGCCGTCGGCCTCGGCCTCAGCCTCAGCCTGCCTCAGCCTCAGCCTCAGCCTCAGCCTGCCTCAGCATCAGCCTGCCTCAGCCTCAGCCTCAGCCTGCCTCAGCCTCAGCCTCAGCCTGCTTCAGCCTCAGCCTCAGTCTGCCTTCAGCCTCGGCCTCAGCCTCAGCCTGCCTCAGCCTCAGCCTGCCTCAGCCTCAGCCTCAGCCTCAGCCTCAGCCTCAGCCTCAGCCTCAGCCTGCCTCAGCCTCAGCCTCAGCCTGCTCAGCCTCAGCCTCAGTCTGCCTTCAGCCTCCTCAGCCTCAGCCTGCCTCAGCCTCCTCAGCCTCAGCCTGCCTCCTCAGCCTGCCTCAGCCTCAGCCTCAGCCTGCCTCAGCCTCAGCCTCAGCCTGCCTCCTCAGCCTGCCTCAGCCTCAGCCTCAGCCTCAGCCTGCTTCAGCCTCAGCCTCAGTCTGCCTCAGCCTCGGCCTCAGCCTCAGCCTGCATCAGCCTCAGCCTGCATCAGCCTCAGCCTCAGCCTCAGCCTGCCTCAGCCTCAGCCTGCCTCAGCCTCAGCCTGCCTGCCTCAGCCTCAGCCTGCTTCAGCCTCAGCCTCAGTCTGCCTTCAGCCTCGGCCTCAGCCTCAGCCTGCCTCAGCCTCAGCCTGCATCAGCCATCAGCCTCAGCCTCAGCCTCAGCCTGCCTCAGCATCAGCCTCAGCCTCAGCCTCAGCCTCAGCCTCAGCCTCAGCCTCAGCCTGCTTCAGCCTCAGCCTCAGTCTGCCTTCAGCCTCGGCCTCAGCCTCAGCCTGCCTCAGCCTCAGCCTGCATCAGCCTCAGCCTCAGCCTCAGCCTGCCTCAGCATCAGCCTGCCTCAGCCTCAGCCTCAGCCTGCCTCAGCCTCAGCCTCAGCCTGCTTCAGCCTCAGCCTCAGTCTGCCTTCAGCCTCGGCCTCAGCCTCAGCTGCCTCAGCCTCAGCCTGCATCAGCCTCAGCCTCAGCCTCAGCCTGCCTCAGCATCAGCCTGCCTCAGCCTCAGCCTCAGCCTGCCTCAGCCTCAGCCTCAGCCTGCTTCAGCCTCAGCCTCAGTCGGCCTTCAGCCTCGGCCTCAGCCTCAGCCTGCCTCAGCCTCAGCCTGCCTCAGCCTCAGCATCAGCCTGCCTCAGCATTCAAAATGTGGCCCGGGAATGGAATTCTGGGAACTCGAAGAACACGAAGTGGCCTACAGTTGGCCCCGGGCATTCAAAATCATGCCCAGGAATGGAGTTCTGGGAACTCGAAGACCACGAAGTGGCCTACAGTTGGCTCCGGGCATCCAAAATGTGGCCCGGGAATGGAGTTCTGGGAACTCGAAGAGCACGAAGTGGCCTACAGTTGGCTCCGGGCATTCAAAATGTGGCCCGGGAATGGAGTTCTGGGAACTCGAAGACCACGAAGTGGCCTACAGTTGGCTCCGGGCATTCAAAATGTGGCCCGGGAATGGAGTTCTGGGAAGTCGAAGAGCACGAAGTGGCCTACAGTTGGCTCCGGGCATTCAGAATGTGGCCCGGGAATGGAGTTCTGGGAGGTCGAAGAGCACGAAGTGTGTGACTGTTTGCTTAAAACGAGAGCCTGTGGAGTGACTGCTGCTTTTTAACCTATCACGAAGTGTGTGACTGTTTGCTTAAAACGACTTCTGCGGCACCCTGTCCGGCACCCGCCCAGACCCCCCTGTGGAGTCATCTGCTGCTCTCTTTTGAGACCACTAGAAACCTATCAGTCTTCGCTGTTAGGTAAAATCACACCCTGTGCCCTCCACCCAAAGAAAAAAATCAACAGCGATGACCATGGCCAAGTCTGCACGCACAGACGTCGGTGTCGATCTCGGTCATGGTCTATCTTGGTCACCGTCAATTTGTGGATCATCCTCGCGAGTCGGCGACGGCCGGCATTGGCCACGACCAAGGCTGGCGCTGACAAGCACCCCGCAGCGTCTTGGTCGGCTCTTCCCTCGAGGGCAGCCCTCGGCGGCGACGATAAGGGCGAATAGCCCAGGGGCGGGCATTTCACGTATTCGCCCGGGAGCCTTTTCGGAGACATCGATCATCGGCGCACCAGAGCACATGTATTGCTCTCCCCTGGGCTATACGCCCCTATCGTCGCATCTGACGCCTAGGGGCCCTGGGGGGGGGCGGCACTGCGACAGGGCGGCGCAGGCGGCCCTACCCTGGAGCTCCGATCGCCCAGTGTCCAGAACAGGAGAAGGCTGCAGTGACCCAAACTGACTACCTACCAGAACACCCCAACCCAACCCGAAGAGCCGAATTTGACCCGAATTTCGGGTTGGGGGGGGGTACGGGTTCCATGTGTTTTTTCAATGTTCCCCGACCCCCCTCCACTGGGAACCGAGGGTAAATTTGGGCCTTCGGGTTGGGTTGGGGTGGGTTGGTGGGTGGTGACAAACCGTCGGAGGTCCGCGCGGATGTCTTGCATCGGCGCTGACCCCCCCTCCCCGGCGCGCGGAGCGCGCCAGGGGCGGCACCGGAGGCGCAACCAGGAGGCCCGGCCCGGCAACTGCGGGGAGCTCCGGAAGGTTTCGTGCTCATGCAATTGTTTCTTCGGCCATGTACCCACTGCTGGTGCCTTCGGCGAGTCTCCCGGGCAGATGCGAAGAGCGGCCGCCCCTGGGCGAATTACAGTCAACGCATATCATTAGGAAGCACGCTGTGGATGCAAGGGATCTGGATTTTTTGGTCTGCGGATCGAGAGCGAGCCTCTTCCGGTCAAGAGCTACAGGATGCAAGGGAACGGGGAGACCATGTTTACACTGTTCGAGCGGGGCGCGGCCAGCGACAATCGCCAAGGATGGGCCGAAGGGGGAGGATGCAAGGGTAACCCTGGAAAATCGCTCATCCTTCGGATAAGGGTCTCCTAGGTGGGGTCGGAGCAGATGGGGTCAGAGGATCGCGCCGCATCGCCGATGCATCGCCGATGAATCGGCGACGCATCGGGGATGCGTCGGGGATGCACAGGCGACACATTGTCGACGTCGGCGATGCATCGGCGACGGCGACATGAAGCAAACCAAGTTCCGCATCGAGCCGCACCGCCGATGAATCGGCGATGCGGCTCGATCCTCCGAACCCATCCACGCCGACCCTATCTCGGAGGCCTAGAGCCAAGGATGGGCCGAAGGGGAAGGATGCAAAGGTAATCTTGGAAAATCGATCATCCTTCCTATCCGTGTTGACTGTGCATCGGGGGCGGCCAAGGGGCGTCCAAGAGGGGGGGGCACAAACCGTGGTCAGCGGCATGTGCGCGGCCCGGGGGGGGGGGGGCTGGGGACGTATTGAAACAAGAAGAGGCGCCATGAGATCTGGGGAGGTATCATGCCCCCCGCCATGATATCCACCCCCCCTAGTTATCACCCCCCTCGTGGCCGCCCCCGATGAGGGTAGAGGCCTCCCAGATGGGGCCGGAGTAGATGGGGTCGGAGGATGGCGCCGCATTGGCGATGCATCGCCAATGCATCGGCCATGCACAGACGACATCGCAAATGCATCGGCGACATCGGCGTGGGGAAAACCGGGCTCCACATCGAGCTGCATCCTCGATGCATCGGTGATGCGGCGCGATCCTCCGACCCTATCTGCTCGGACCCCATCTGGGAGGCCTAGAAACCTTGAAAATGAACGGGCGAAAAACGGCATTTAAAAGAACTGTTTCGCTGTCGGGGGCGCCTGTCCCAGGGCGGCTGGAAAATTGATACCCTTACGATGGCACGTCAAGGTATAAACTTTCCAGCCGCCCTGGGACAGGCGCCCCCGGCGACGGAACAAGAATATGTTATACCGTTCTTCGCCCACTAAAGAAAATCGCTCATCCTTTCTATCCGTGTTGACTGTGCCGCCCCCTTTCGCCTCCTCCAAAGGACCTCCAGACATCAGCGCCCCCACGGAGGCGAGCGCGTCGAGGAGGCCCTCGCCCTCCCTGGAGACCTCCGGGGGCAGGCACGGAAGAGAAACGGCAGGAGCCCCGGCTGCCTCGGGCACACGCGGGCATGGACTGGACATCCGCGGATCTGGCGCGTGGGCGCCAGATCCGCGGATCGGGTACACTCGAGCAGGGGATCGTCTACAGAACTGATTGACCCCGGAAGTGATTTCCCCGCCGGGTCAGACGTGAACGCCTGTAGATCTCAAACATTCGACGCATGTCTCATGGACTCGACGGACGAATCAAGTCTGGGGCAATTCAATTCTGTAGTCGATCCCCTACTCGAGAAATAGGGTCCTCCTAGAAGGGGTCGCTGTAGATGGGGTGGGAAGATCGCGCCGCATCGCCGATGCATCGCAGATGCATCGGCGATGCATCGGCGACGTCGGCGATGCATCGGCGACGGCGGGATGAAGAACATCGGGCGCCGCGTCGAGTCGCATCGTCGATGATCGGCGATGCGGCAGGAGCCTCCGACCCCAACTGCTCCGACCCCATCCAGGCCTACCATCGTGGCGCGTGGGCGCCGGATCAGAGGATCGGGTAAAAAGTGCCCCCCGAGACATCAGAGCTGCCACACTGGGCGACGGAGCGCGCCGGCTCGGTGCTCCAGATTTCGTAATAAAAGGGAGGGGGTCTGGACCCTCCAAGACAAGCCATTTCAGACCTCCCCCGTGGGAGAACCCTCCAAAACATCGTCCCCAGACCCCCTCGGCCCTCCAAGATAGCCTGGAAGATACCCCCCCCCGAAATGAAACCCCCCTCCCTTTATTACGAAATCTGGAGTACGAAGGCGGGGCACGTCGCTAATCCACGCGCACCTCGTCCATGTCTGCGATTCTTCGCCCTTCGGAGGTCCGCGCGGGCGTCTTGGATTGGCACTGGCCCCCCTGGTGGCGCCACCTGCGCCACCCCTGGTGCGCTCCCCGCGCTGGGGAGGGGGGGGGATCCAGCGCCGATCCAAGAGGTCCGCGCGGAGCTTCGAAAAAGTGATGCATGCATGCTTATGCCATGGAGGGTTCCGAGGGATCTGAACTGGATGAGCCTCGAGAGAATCTGTCAAGAAGGGGAGATAAAGAGCTCAAAATCTACCCCTGGACCTCTCCCAGGATGCATCTGGTGCAGTGTCCCACCCTGCAGGATCAGTTCTTGACAGTCCCGGGGTCCAAAAACACCCCCCAGGTATCCAACAACTAAAAAAACTACTCGAACCCAGAACCTCAAACCTCGCCCCCCCCGTCCAACTCTAACTTCAAATCCACGTCGAATCCGCGTCGAATCCACGTCGAACCCACGCCAAACCCGCGTCGAGTCCGCGTCGGACACAAGAAGAGAGACCAATCCTCGGGGGGCAGACGAGGCCCCCCGAGGATGCAACGCGAAAAATTACGTACCTGTGCGCGTGCCGATGTTTATCCCCCGAGGCCTCAAGCTGCACGATGCGCTGCCGGGCCTTCCTCAGCTCGGCGAAGAGCCTGTGCGCCGAGGGGGAAGAGTGGAGCGGACATGACAGATGAACATCATGCACGCTCACACAAACCACGTGGCAAGGTTGGCGGGGGACGAGTGGGCAGCGTGGCTGCCAAGGAACGGCTGTCACGCACAACGGCTGCTGAGCTACAGGGGCCAACAAGCGTAGCCAAAACGCTGCTGGGTTGTCTGCGCGGACTTCTTGGATCCGCGCTGACCCCCCTTCCCTGGCGCGCGGTGCTGGAGGCGCCGCCGGGGGGGGCCCAGTGGGGATCCAAGAGATTTGCGAGGAACTCCGACCAATTATGTTGCTGGCGTTTGTGCTGGTCTTCGGTTGCAGCGGAGGCCAGTCCACAAGAAACCTTCCACAAGAGACCCGACCCTGAGACCCCAGGACGTCCCTGGACTTTCGGCGTGGGAAGGCCACGCCCTCCATCGCAAAACCACCGAAGCCTAAGAAGCCCAAGGGCACCTTGGAGTGACTACCTACCAGACCACCCCAACCCAACCCGAAGACCCGAATTTCGGGTTGGGGGGGATAAGGGTTCCACAGGTGTTTTTTCAATGTTCCCCGACCCCCCCCCACTGGAAATCGAGGGGAAATCTGAGCCTTCGGGTTGGGTTGGGGTGGTTTGGTGGGTGGTGATTCTGATGGAGGCGAGCACGGTGTCTCTTGGCATGGGCCTCTGCCGTGTGCTCGTGGCGCTCCTGCTGGTCTCCGATGAGCCCTCGGCTCGGCGAGGCCGCCGCGCGCTCTCTCCGGGGGCAGCGCCGAGCGCGCGCGCGGTGTGTCCCCTCCCCCCCCCGCCCAGCCGTGAGCCCCCTGTGACCCCAGCCCCCGGAGAAGAGAGCACCCCCCCCCATCCCTCGACCGGGAGCGGCTGTGGTCCTGAATCCACGGGATCGACTGTGGTCCACTTGTCACAGCAGGCGGGGAGGCCGAGCGTCCTGAGCCCCTCCTGAGTTCCCATCGTGGCCCTGATCTTCATCTCATGCATAGTACCATGAATGAGCAGTATTGCCATCTTTCTGAGGATGTCTCAGGCGAAACGCACAGAAGGCTCTTGAAGACCGATCTTGAAGACCGATCCAGACATCCTGACATCGCTATCTCCTTCCCTCAAGGGAATCTTCTCACCACCATGGGGTTACCCTGGCTCAACACTGCACAAAAACACCGTCTGCGAACAGTGGTACGATTCCAGCGCTCCTCGCAGCCAGCCCAGGCATCCGACATTGTGAGCCTTTCGCGGCGCGTCTCCCCAGAGGCCTGGGCCACTTCTCCAGGACCGGCCTCTCACTCTGAGCCGTCCTCTGATTAAGGCGAAGCCACGACGAGGACAAATTTGGGCGAGGACAAATCGAGAATCTCTGAGAACCGGCGGGTTTGAAGGATGCCTCGGGCGCCGCGGTCTTCTCAGAGCGTTCCGGAACGCTCTGAGAGCGTTCCGGAACGCTCTGGAACGGGGTTATCTTAGACCTCTGGCGCCCCCCCGCAGCCGTCAGGAGGTATGGCCAGACCTAGGGCAGCAGAACAGTCTTGAAGAACATGAGACGCTCCGCTGGCCAAAACACCCCACACCATAAGATCACTCGAGGGTATTCTCACCTGGGGTGCACAAGAACAGCCAACAAGCACGAAGAACATCAGGGTACCCCTCCCCGAACCGACCTCGATCTTATAATTACCTCGGTCCGACCGTCTTGATGCCAAAGCCCTCCGCTCGGAGAACATCCAATAAGCACGAAGAACATTAGGGTACCCTCCTCGAACCTACCTCGACCTCGATACCTCGGTCCGACCGTCCTGATGCCCAACCCTTCAGCTCGGCGAGGAACCTGCTGGCTCCTGGCTCCCTACGGCTACCTAGGCTTCCGACGAAGCCGCCCCCCCAGGGCCGGTCGGCCCTGGGGGGTGGATCAAACGAACAAGCCGAAGGATTGCAAAAAAACCCTGGATTGCAAAAAAAAACCTGGGGATTGCAAAAAAAATCCCTGGGGATTGCAATCCCTGGGTTTTTTTTGCAATCCTTTTGTTTGCAATCCTTCGTTTTTTTGCAAGTCACCAGGTGTCATCGGCTGTGGCGACGAGAGGTGCCTGGCAGCACTTCAGCGCTCTCGCGCCGCCCCCCCGCGGGCGAGAAGAAGACGACGGGGAGGAAGCCCAGCCGCACCGCGAAGCGCGAAGAATGAACCTCGCGCCCTCGAGGGCGCCCCGGAAGAGGTCTTGATGCCCAAACCTGGCAGGCCCAGAGGTTGACACCAACCCCAAAATCGGCGGCGTGCCTCCACGGAGGGGAGATGATTGCGATCTTGGTGATGGCGGAAAAAATATGTTGGCCTCCCAGGCGGCCGACGTATTGCCACCGACGCCGAAATCTACGATGCCCGGTACCCCCCTGTTTTGGTGTTGGTGCCCATTTCTAGAGGCCTCCCAGATGTGGTCCGAGTGGATGGGGTCGGAGGCTCGCGCCGCATCGGCGATGTATCGGCGATGCACCGGCGATGCATCGGCGATGTACCAGCGATGCCTCGGAGACGTCGACGTGAAGCAAATCGGGCTCCACATCGAGCCGCATCGGTGATGCATCGGCGATGCGGCGCGATCCTCCGACCCCATCCACTCCGACCCCATCTAGGAGGCCTAGAGCCAAGGATGGGCCGAAGGGGAAAGATGCGAGTGCAACCGCGGAACATCGCTCATCCTTCCTATCCGTGTTGACTGTGCATCGGGGGCGGCCAAGGGGCGTCCAAGAGGGGGGGCGCAGATCATGGTCTGCGCAGATCATGGTCGATGGCCTTCCTATCCGTGTTGACTGTGCATCGGGGGCGGCCAAGGGGCGTCCAAGAGGGGGGGGGCGCAGATCATGGCCTGCGCAGATCATGGTCGATGGGGACCCCACCGAGGGGGCACAGAGTTGCGAAGCCTCCGGGAGGCCCTCCGCTCGGCGAGGCGCCTGTTGATCTCCTCCTTGAGCCGCAGGGTGTAGCGGATCTTCTGCTTGTGGTTCATGTGCCCCGCGGCCTGGGCGGGCGGGGGCTCTCCGAGGGTCGAGGGCCCAGGATCGAGGGCCGAGACTCGAGGATCGAGACTCGAGGGTCGAACTTCGAAGATGTTCGACGTTCGAGGATCGAGATTCGAGGAGGGTCGAGGGTCGAGGTTCGAGGATCGAAGGTCCAGGTTCGAGGGGGAGCGGGATGGGCGCCGGGCGGGCGGAGCGGGATGGGCCAGACGGGTAGGCGGGGCTCGATGTCAACAGTGTTTTTCCGTGTTCGTTTCGTTTTCAGCTCCCGTCTACTGTCCTCGTTCCGCCTATGCTGCAGGACGAAATCAAAGCGAAACGGTCCACTTAACTCGAGCCCTGGCAAGAAGAGGGAGGCAGGGGGATCTGGGGGGGGAACAGGGGGGGCGGAGAGCAAGCCAGCCTCCACGGCTCCTCGGGACTGGCGAACCAGACAGGATGGATGTGGTAACTCCACGGTCCTCTCCGAGGAAACGGTGTGACCAGGGTTTCGAGGCAAATCCAGCCGC